AACTAGAACTGAACTAGAACTGAACTAGAACTGAAGTAGAACTGAACTAGAACTGAACTAGAAACTCAACTAGAACTGAACTAGAACTGAACAGAACTGAGAACTAGAACTGAACTGAACTGAACTAGAACTGAACTAGAACTGAACTAGAACTGAAATAGAACTGAACTAGAACTGAACTAGAACTGAACTAGAACTGAACTAGAACTGAACTAGAACTGAACTAGAACTGAACTAGAACTGAACTAGAACTGACTAGAACTGAACTAGAACTGAACTAGAAACTGAACTAGAACTGAACTAGAACTGAACTAGAAATGAACTAGAACTGAACTAGAACTGAACTAGAACTGAACTAGAAACTGAACTAGAACTGAACTAGAACTGAACTAGAACTGAACTAGAACTGAACTAGAACTGAACTAGAATGAACTAGAACTGAACTAGAAACTGAACTAGAACTGAACTAGAAACTGAACTAGAACTGAACTAGAACTGAACTAGAACTGAACTAGAAACTGAACAGAAACTGAACTAGAACTGAACTAGAACTGAACTAGAACTGAACTAGAACTGAACTAGAACTGAACTAGAACTGAACTAGAACTGAATAGAACTGAACTAGAACTGAACTAGAACTGAACTAGAACTGAACTAGAAACTGAACTAGAACTGAACTAGACTGAACTAGAACTGAACTAGAACTGAACTAGAACTGAACTAGAAACTGAACTAGAACTGAACTAGAACTGAACTAGAACTGAACTAGAACTGAACTAGAACTGAACTAGAACTGAACTAGAACTGAACTAGAACTGAACTAGAACTGAACTAGAACTGAACTAGAACTGAACTAGAACTGAAACTAGAACTGAACTAGAACTGAACTAGAACTGAACTATAGAACTGAACTAGAACTGAACTAGAACTGAACTAGAACTGAACTAGAACTGAAACTAGAACTGAACTAGAACTGAACTAGAACTGAACAGGAACTGAACTAGAACTGAACTAGAACTGAACTAGAACTGAACTAGAACTGAACTAGAACTGAACTAGAACTGAACTAGAACTGAACTAGAACTGAACTAGAACTGAACTAGAACGAACTAGAACTGAACTAGAACCTGAACTAGAACTGAACTAGAACTGAACTAGAACTGAACTAGAACTGAACTAGAACTGAACTAGACTGAACTAGAACTGAACTAGAACTGAACTAGAACTGAACTAGAACTGAACTAGAACTGAACTAGAACTGAACTAGAACTGAACTAGAACTGAACTAGAACTGAACTAGAACTGAACAGAACTGAACTAGAAACTGAACTAGAACTGAACTAGAACTCAACTAGAACTCAACTAGAAACTGAACTAGAACTAAACTAGAACTGAACTAGAACTGAAACTAGAACTGAACCAGAACTGAACTAGAACTGAACTAGAACTGAACTAGAACTGAACTAGAACTGAACTAGAACTGAACTGAACTGAACTAGAACTGAACTAGAAACTGAACTAGAACTGAACTAGAACTGAACTAGAACTGAACTAGACTGAACTAGAACTGAACTAGAACTGAAACTAGAACTGAACTAGAACTGAACTAGAACTGACTAGAACTGAACTAGAACTGAACTAGAACTGAACTAGAACTGAACTAGAACTGAACTAGAACTGAACTAGAACTGAACTAGAAACTGAACTAGAACTGAACTAGAACTGAACTAGAACTGAACTAGAACTGAACTGAACTGAACTAGAACTGAACTAGAACTGAACTAGAACTGAGCTAGAACTGAACTAGAACTGAAACTAGAACTGAACTAGAACTGAACTAGAACTGAACTAGAACTGAACTAGAACTGAACTGAACTGCACTGAACTGAACTAGAGCTGAACTTAAAAATTACTGTCGACTATTTGCAGCGACGAAAACATTATTTGTTCTAATATTATTATATTAATTCCTTTTAAAATATTCAACCACAATAAACAATGACTTTTGAAAAAAAATAATTTGTGCATAAATTTCGTTATAATTTCTGTGGGTACCTTTTCTTTTTTTACGCATTATAGATAAATTTATTTATTTTATTTTCAAAATTAAAAGCCAATTCGCAATAATCATAAAAAATTGTTTATATTTAGGTACGTACACGTAAAGGAATGACTCATGCCATTCTTAAGAAATATTTGTTTGTATAAACAGGAAAAACACAATTTAAACAGTAATATTTAGCAAATTCAACACGTTTTTGATAAAAACAAACTAAGATACTAAAAATTGAAACAGTTTTTTAAATATAACGCGATAAAAACATGTCACTGGGACAAATATTTAAATGTAACTAAAAGCAAATCAAAAAATATTTAAAATACCAGCCCTCCTTAGTAGTAGTGGATGGAAGAATGTGAGAAAACTAAAAAATTGATGACAAATCACATTAAACAAACTGAAAAAAAAATTCCCTTCTTTAACGACATTTATAGAGAAATAAAAATAGTTATAGATAGGCTTTTTCAACACTGCATAAAGAATTTATAAAATAATAGCAATAAACGATAATGTCGTGTGCAAGTTCAAAAATACTCACATTATTTATAGGATTTTGATGATGTTGCGAAGGACTGGTTGATAGGGAATCACCACCTCCTCCACCACCACTAGCGCCAGTGGCTGTTATATTAGCATTGTTGGTATTCGATGAACCGATAGTATTGCCACTAACGCCGCCACCACCACCACCACTTCCTGTATTTGTGGCTGACGTATTAGTGGTATTTGTTGTATGAAACGATTGAAATATGTCATCAATACATTCATCGCCAGCATTAAAACGTACAGTTATGGGCACTGTAGTCTGAGTGGAGGAGGTTTGTCCTGCCGTGGGTTTATTTGTGCTGGGCGATGAGGCGTTATTAGTTGACGAGCTTGAAGAACCTGTAATAATAGTGAAACAATTTTTTAAAATTAATTTTAGGATCGTTAAATATTTAAAATTATTTTATTTTTGGAAACGTAGGTTATTGACAACTCTATTGACTAGTTTCTTGACTGCTCTATAAACAATTCTATGGACTAGTCTATTGACAAATTTATTTATTATGTACTAAGCTATTGACTGGTCTATTGACTAGTCTTTGCACTAGTGTATTACCTACCCTATGGACTAGTCGATTCACTATCTATGGTTTAGTCGATGGAGTATTCTATGGACTAGTTTAAGAATTATTCTTCGTATTAAGTATTATATAACCTAATATGTAAACTAGTCTATGATCTATTCTTCGTACTAATCTATGGTCTTCGTGCTAATCTATAGTCTAAGAACTAGTCTATTGACAAGTTTATTGACTAACTTATCTATGGTTTAGTCAATTGACTATTCTATAGACTATTGAGTCTCGTCTATGGACTAGTATATAGACTAGTCTATGAACTATTCTTCATACTAATATATGGACTATATTATTAACTAGTCTGTGAATTATGTATTGACTAGTCTATAGTCTATCCTATTGAGAAGTTTATTAACTACTCTATGAATGCCGCACGTCTCTCAACGAGATGACGAGACATTCGAACATCACCCTTATTTGGGTCAAGGGACACAGGAGAATATGTGGCAATGATATTGCTGACACATTGGCCACGCTTATCATACTGGAAATAGATCAATTCTGTGGTATTCCACTTCTTGCAATAAAGAGAAAACTGCTACTCTATTGCTTGTGACAAATGGTCGCGTGAACACACTTGCTCTAAAGCTAGAGCGCTGTGACCCCATATGAATCCATGCAGGTCTAACTATCTCCTTGGTCTTCAAAGACTACAATTAGTTAAGCTGGTATCGATTATTACTGGCCACTGTAAATTTGGAAACCATTCTAGACGCATTGGTCTTCCGTTCAATGATTTCTGTAGGAGTTGTCAAAATGAGGATGAAGAAGTGACTAATCTTATCTGTAATTGTCCTACCTTGGCTGAGACCCGAATTCGATCGCTTGCATCGGCCTACTTTGGCGATCCTATTCGAATTATAGTATATTCAATTGGAACGTCTTATGGTCTTCATTAATTTATCAAAATGGGTTTGAAATTCGAATTCCCACTAACGGTTGCATGGCAATTATGCCTGGTTCTTTTCTTCAACGGTTTCTTGACACCTCCTATCTGTGTCTCCTATTCTCTCTTTCCTACTTTTTCTTCTTACAGGTTACAAGTAAAGCTGCATTGACATTGACTTGTGATAACGATTGATTTGACAATGGACTAGTAATCCTAGTCTATTGACTAGTCGGCTGATTATTATATTGAATGAACTAGTCTATGGTCTACTCTATAGACTTGTCTATGAAGATTAGTGCTAATACTTAGTGCTAATACTTATATTGACTAGTCAATTGACTAGTTTATATAAAAGACTATAGAGTAATATATTGACTAACGTATGGACTACCTATGATAGTTTGTAATATAGAAAAAGTACTTAATATAACGTGACAGTACGCCGGCCAAAATGGACTAAAAAAGTACAATAGTACTGAATTTTCCATGTCATTATCGACTAAATTTGTATTGAATGCAAACTTTAAAACGAGTATTTTACAATAGCACATTTAAATTTCTGAATCTGTAAGAAATCTTTTAACCTAAACTTTAAAATCTCCTTGTAACTTTCAAATTCTTAATAAAAAACATTTCACTTACTTTTGGATATTTTTAAAGAGTCCATTTTTGTAGTCTGTTGTTATGATTATATGAATGTATATAAAAAAAGGAATTTTTTTCTATTGCTTTATTGTTCAGCTCCTCAGTTTCTATTTGTTTGTGATAGTTCTTCTAGTTTGATGTATTACGGAACCAGTAACAACTGTTTGTTGTCTTGATGTGTTCACACAATTCTTTCTTTTTTTTTATTTCGGGCTATTATTAAAAACAAGCAAATGTATATAGCGTCAACAAACTGACACCGCCAACAACAGCAACCCAGCACACGTCTCGTTCTCTTGTTTCTTATTTATACTTGGTTTATCTTAGTTGGTTAGTTGACAATTTCTTATTCTTGGTATTTTTTTCTTTATTTTTTTGCCACTCGTTGTTGTTTTTGTTGTTACTATTAATTCTACTTGCTGACTTGTTTGTTTTTGTTCTGTATATTCTCAGTTGCCCTAATTTTAGAACGTCACATTTTTGTGTTGCATTGTTGTTATAGCCATGAGTGTGTATGCCCCAAATACCGGAATAGTTGTTTGTAGTAGCCAGTATAGCACCAGCCAGCAAGTGATCGTTGATTATTTGTTTGTATATTTGTTGTTGACAAAATGAAAATCGTGTCGAAAAATTCATCATCGAATAAAAAATATAACAAACGTAAATAAATCATAAAAAATGTAGTAGCAGCAGCAGTAGTAGAGAAATAGCATCAGCAGCATAATATTAAAGTGTGGTCAAATTGTTTTAAGTGGCAAATAGTCGTAGTAGTATTTGTTGTAGGAAGTAGTTCAGGTGGTATCATCAACATCATTTTTCCAAGGCAAATCCATGAAGAATGGTGTAAATTTTGTAAAGAAAAGAAAAATAAAGAGAAATAAATAAATAAATATAATAAAAAATTGTTTTAATTTAATACATTGTTATTAAACAGCAAAAAGGTGGTTTGATTGTTGTTTATTTTCTTATATTTATTATAAGTTTGTAGTTGTTTTCAATGACATTTTGTTAAGTTTTTGGTTAAAATAGTTATTTATGTTTTTTTTAGGAGAAAATAATTTGAAACTTTTTAACGATTTCCTTGAACAGAAATATCTACATAACTTAAATAAAAGAAACAAGAAAAAAGAGGAAAATACATTTTTCAGATTCAGATCTAAACAAGAATTGTGACAGAAGATCTGAATCCTCACTAAAGCCTCCACTCGATATAACGATTAATTTTCCTGATAAAACCGCACAGAATGCCTCCAGCAATATTTCCCAGTTCGTCGTGGAATCTATTTTATAAAATTTTTACATGCAACACTTTTAATATAATATAGAGCTCCCCAATTCCTAATAGAACAATGCCCCATTAAAAGTCATGTCAAAGTCCTTAGACTACTACTATCCAATCCAATAAGTATTTTCATTGCTTTACAATCCAGATTGCATTGATTGCCATTAATACAATGTTTTCCAATTTGTCGCACTTTTTGTTTTAAACCCTGTAATCTCTGACTCTAGAGCTCCCCAATTCTTAATAGAACAATGCCCCATTAAAAGCCATATTTAATGGACTCGACAACTTCTATCCAGCCCAATAAGTATCTTCGTAGCTTTCGTCCATTTGATACTTTACAATTCATATTACTGTTCCAGGAATGATTAGGGAATCATTCGAAGTTCATTGTATAATAGAGGCAAATAGGTCTCTCCTTCCAATTCTTAATAGAACAATGCCCCATTAAAAGCCATATTTAATGGACTCGACTACTTCTATCCAGCCCAATAAGTATCTTCGTAGCTTTCGTCCATTTGATACTTTACAATCCATATTACTGTTCCAGGAATGATTAGTGAATCTTTTGAAGTTCATTGTATAATAGAGGCAAATAGGTCTCTCCTTGCAAGTTCTTCCGCCACCTCATTTTCCTGAGGAACTGGCGGAAATTGCGGGACTTTATCTTCGCAGACTTCTAGGTTTTATCAGGGGAATTAGACATTTCTTTAAATGAGTTTTTAAAATGGAGACTCAGATTATCTCACATTCGAAGAATAGATTTTAAGATAAATCTTTTGGGTTAAACCCCCTTGGGAATCGACCTGTTACCATTCATCTCTCCTATTTACCTATGTTCTTTCTTTTTCCATTGTTTTGTTTCTTCATAGAAAGTGAATATCCAAAGTCACTTTCTATGAACTGAATCACAGTGGACCTTATGGTATCCGAGTGGAATTGCACTTTTATAGGGTTTTGGGATTACTCCATGCCACCTTGAAAAAGTTCAAGTGATGGAAGACTTATTTGGCTGTTCCAAAGGGCATAGGGCACACACAAATAATTAACACTTCGAATCCTTGCATCTTAATGTAGATTATTGCGTTGCGAAACCTCAATTCGACAGACGCTTTCAAATCCGAGTTCCTCCGAAATCCTCTTTTAGGGTACCTAATTATTGTATTTTACAGGCAGAGAGATTTGCTATCAAACGTGTCGCCAACTGGCTGAGATGTTATCAACTATCGGGTGATATACATATGTATGTATATATACGGACAGCAAAGCTGCGATCAGAAGTCTAGGGGAATCCTGGGTATCACTGAATGAGATAGTGAGTCCCTGGACATAGTAATTGTCAGGAAAACTGTATAGCTGACGAACTTGCCAGGAATGGTGCGATGAAAGGGAAAAATGAAATCGAATTTCTGGTATCTCCCTTACAAACTGTAAATCACTGGTTTAGACTGAACTATATGAAATGGCTCAAATCAGATAGTTCAGTGGAACCACCTGTCTCACTTCGAGGTGATGCTCCCAGGTCAAGTTTATTATTAAGATTTCGCAATTGGCAATCACGCCAGAAGAATGGGTCTCAAATATAACGACTGCTGTACGAGTTGTAATAATGAAGAGGAAGAGGAAACAACACCTCATCTCCTCTGCTATTGCCCACCAATCAATGAAAGCAGAGAACAATGTGCTTTGCTGCTCTATCTTGTTTGGATGAGCTATCTGGGATATGCCTTAAAAATATCCTAAACTTTGTGAATCAAACTGGTTGGTTTAAATCTGAAAGTAGAGAGTAATACTTAAATGGAATCCTACGACCACTAGGGTATAGCCTCATGTGAGCCACTCATGATTGATTGAGTGGCTATTCTTCTTACCTAAACCTAACCTAAACCCATAATAATTCTATCTCTACATATTTAGATAGGAATTCATTATTTTATCTTTGTTTTTTCTTCTATTTTTTCAACAGTATTAGCGGATATTGTTGTATCTGGTAAAACCGTCTAGCCAAAGTGTGCGTAATGAATAACACAAAAGTATCTTGTTCAAATGTCTTATCTGAATTTTGTGGGTGCACCAGGGTTTCCCAAGGAGACATGGTAATATTTTCTTGAATTCTCTTTCCCATTCATCTTGCAGTCTCTTTTCTCTTATAGCTTCGTTTCTAGATGATTTACCTGTAATGTGAGGTCATCTTGGGTGCCTCTTTGCAACTTTATAACCCTTATTTATCTAACCTAACCTTGATATTAATTAAAAAAATTAAATTTAAATGCAACAAATTTGTTCAATGCTTGATATTTATTTACTAACATAAATTAAACTTTAATGCTAATTAAAAACCCAAAATGTTGTTTACCCCAAATCACAGCAATTCAAATTTTGTTTTGAATAAAAATAAGTGCCATAGTAAAGACAAACTAAATATAACCCAATTACAATAGGTGCTCTTTTTAACTAAAACCAGAGAAAAACTAAACAAACAAAAAACAGAACACAGATTTGAAATTAAAAATAAAAAGAAATTAAAACCGAAAAAAAGACTAAACAAAACATAAAAGAGAATCACATGTTATCACATGAATGGCAAAAAGCAGCAAACCAACAAACGACCTAATAACTGGGATAACTATACATAAGAGTAAGGGTTATATACCATTATCATGTAGTACCTATGTATGTATATTACTAGGTTACTTTTTAACGCCTGCATGGGTGGTATGCAGGCTTTTCGGTTAAATTCTCTGAACTACGCACTATAGAGCATAAAAAAAGAACTAACCTAAAAATAATACAAAGTGCATATTTCAGCAATTTTCCAAAAATCTGCTCTCAAACACACAATACGCATCATAATGCTCTTTAACAGCAGATGCTGTCAAATACAAAATTACTATGTGGCAAAATAAAAGAGACAAGAAGAAAGAAACATTATTTGGAAAAAATACATTGTAATTTTATGGAAATTGCATACAAAATTTGAAAACAAAATTTTATTGACACACATATTCCTTTGTTGATGTTTCCAATTTTAAATATTTGATTAAATTTTTGCTTAAATGTCATAAGTTACACTTAGTCTGTGTGTATAAAGGAATGTGTATAATAAAGCTGGAAACAAAATAGAAAACTGTAATAACCACCCTTTTTATTATTATTAAAAGTCAAGATTTTTTTACTGTCATCCCAACCAGAAAAAAAGATACCCAGCAAAACTAACTTATAATTAAATGAGTATTACATACCGTCTGCATTACATAGAAGAAGTTTGGTAATGACTTACAATGGCCTCCGATAGGTTAGTGGTTAGTGTTCTAGTCTGGTAGACCGGAGGCGGTGGGTTCGATTCCCACCAGAGGCACTGGTAAAGTAGCGCAAAACCTATTCTCATCGGCATTTTTTTCAAAAACAGAGCTTGAACTTACATAACTCCTTATTTGCAAGCGATCGTGGTAAGTACTTGCCTTTTATATTATCACCGCCATGTTAAAATATTGACTTCAAATGCTATTGGATAATGAAAGTTTTTGATGGGTATATAAAATAATATAAGCAAATCTTAAATGCACTATATTGAATTTTGTTATTGCTTTTGCTGTTATTGTTGTTGCTGTTCAAGAAGAAAAAAAAAAACTGGGCCATGCGCGCTCTATTATTATAAAATTTGTTGGATGGTTGGTTGGCTGACTGGCTGGTTGGTTTGGTCTATTTTTCTTGTTTACCTCAACTATTACGTTTGAGTACACATCGTCATCATAATCATCTGTGTGTCTGTATCATTTATACACAACGTCACCATCACCATCGCCACCACTATCACCATCATCATCATGTTTAATTTTATCATTGTCAGTAAGTAGTTTTGTAATTTTGTTGCTGTTATTGTACACAATGTTCCAATTTTTTTTTTGTATTTTTTTTTTGGGGGGGGAGGTTTATACAAATACATCTGATCTGTAGACATGGTTATAAATGTATTATAACTTTTGATTTGTATAGTGTTTGTTTATGTAAGTAATATTACTCAAGTGTTATTAACTGCTGTTTTATTTGTCTGTCTTGCCCGCTTGTCAAAGTGACTTACCATTGATTTCAATTTGTGAAAAATAACAACAAATCGGTTAAAAACTACAACAACTGTCAGAGAGCGGGTTGTATTAATAGTAGAAATAAAGACAA